ATATAGGTCTACGATAAGCGTAACAGGAGCCGAGTCAACAGAAGTGAATATGTGAGTTCCAGGAAGCAGTTCAGAATAAGAAGAAGAAGAAGCTGTGACCACTGGAACAAGAGTTTTATTTTTTGTGACGCTTCGGATTCTGTCGTAGGATAATGGCGCGACAGCGGGCATAATTGTCACGCCATTATCAAGCCCGCATCCGACACTGACAAGGAAATCGCGGCCAATAAGGAGTCGAACGCGAAGTGTCAAGCCATCAGCGCACCAGTTAAGACCCCAAGCGGTGGCTAAAGGAGATGAGAATTATAGTATGCATGCGGATGACCGCTACGAACTATAACTACCCTGCAATCTGTGCATGTATCACTCTTATCTGCACATTTGTCAGACTATCCTACGATTACCTGTGATTGAGGATTCACGACAGAATCCGAAACGTCAGGAAAATAAAACTCTTGTTTCAGTGGTCGCATCTTCTTCTTCTGAGGAGCCGAGTCGCAGGACATTCCTACAACACCAGGCAGTAACTGTTAGTACGCTTATGACATCGAGGTATGAGGTATGTTGAAATGCTACAGTAGGTCTCACTCCAAGTGAACGCAGGCGGCCGCGCGACTGGGACTGATCACTTACCCGCGCTCCAAAAAGAACCCTCTATATCAGCATCAGTTCGAAGACTCCGACTCGCGGCAGTCTTAGCAGACAGGCAGGCAGAAAGGCCAGATGCCGCCGACAGATGTTGGTACTGCTAATGGCAGGCGCGCAAAGATTCGTAGCGGGGGAGGAGGGGGAGGGAAGGATAAGCTGAGGGATTAGCGCGCTAGTTGGCGACTCCAGCAACCACGCCTAAGACGCAAATTCGCGACTTATCAACTCACAGCGCAGACGAGCCAAGTAACTGGCCCTATGTTTTATATACCTCAGTACTTGTTGCTTATATATGATATATTCGCACATATATCTGTTTTTCTCTGGGACTGGATTATAATTAGAGCTACAACGTGGAACAGCAGGTTAAAAAGAAAAAAAGGAGCCGACATGATATAACAGAAGCAGTGTGGCTGCGCTGTATATTCGGAAACAGTAGGCAGTAGAAGATAATGTTGGCTGTTCAGGATATCCAATAGAAATCTAAATAGGATGTCTAATCAAGCTTCCATATCTAAACAGAATGCCCTTGTCAAAAGTCGTTAACGGCAAAGAGGTCGTTAGCGGCAACTGATCAAATGATATAAAAAATTTTAAAAATGCTATTCTTAAAGTATAGTTTAATGCGGCTCGATTCTCAATTGGCGGCTCACTCGACGAGACCCGACCACACATTCAAATTTGATGAGGCCAAATTTCTTGCAAGAGGTGATAATCATGTGGGCCGAGAATCTTGTAAGTCATGATTCACAGACCCCTCCAGTCGAGAAGCAAGTGCTATGACTTGCCCAATCCAAATTCGGTGCTGAGGCTCAATTTGGCCAAAACAAGCAACCACGTGGGGAACGCACAGGCCACCGCGTCGTCTTGCGCCAATACCCGGCAATCAGATGGCCGAATAATCCTCACGTCCAATTCCACCACGCGTGATGCAAGTTCAGCACGTTACGGCGCGCACGCCGTTTAGCAAGCAAGTAACGCACAAGAGGGTAATTATCGTTATTTGTCATACGTGCGCAGTACTGACTGTGCCCTATAAATACTGCAACTACAACTCCCTACTTCTCCTACAATTTCTGCTCCTGTCTCTGATGAAGAATCCGCGACGGATGTCGAAACGTCAGGCGAATATAATTGTTGTCCTAGTGATCGAATCTTTTTTTTCTTCTTCTCAATGGAGATAATTCATGCTACATATGCAATCAATCTCTACAAAGTTTGGGTTTTTATGGCCAACAGAATAGAACTAGATAAAAAGCGGCCTAGAGACGCAAATGAAACATAACGGCACTAGGCTGCATAATAATAATTCATATCAAAATCCTGCATAAGTTATCTTTCTGATAAAAGATTACAGTTCTCCATAGGCAGAACGCCGGTGATATGTGAACAGTCCGAAAACTTTGCTGCCTTAGTCCCTTGCGCCTCGCGCACGCATGCACGCAACCCTCCCTGCTCTTTGGAATAGTGTCAATGCCAAAATAACGCTCCCTGGCTAGAAAAGTCGCAAGTTTTAAGTTGAAAGGTATACAAAGTACGCAATTCAATTCATGTTAAAAGTAACTGGGCAACTGCATTCTAACTGTTCGTCTTTCTTCTCATACCTCTTAGAAAGTTTTAGCGCTCTAACTAAAGGCGGCCTTTTAAACATTTTAAATAACAACCTATTTCAGAATTATATACACATAACTGTTTCCGTAGTTGGCCAACTCTAACCAAAAACCAAACGAATGTCACAGCATTACAAGACAAGGCCAAAAAGACACCATCCGTCTTTAACAACCCTACAACAATAGCGAGATGGGGGAGGGGGGGGCTGGATAAAATATTTATATGTGTTTTCGCCTTTTATGCAACCCTTGATTCCCAGGCGTTCTACAAACGTATTGAGCTACTTTGCGTACACTTACGCAGAGAGTAAACAACAACTCTGAAATTCGCGAATGATAAAGAAGGCTAACATACTACGATTCTCGGTATTATCCTGGCTGCGGCAACCTAAGTGAACATCCGAAGACCACACGTGATCGGTAACATGACAGTTTGAACGTTCTGTCCGATGTGTTTCCACAACATGGGACTTGCGCTGCATCTGCCGCACATTCTCCTACCACACCCAGTTGTACCCCCTGTCAAGACAGAGTCAAGCAAGCTCGGGTGCAGGTGGCTGGCGCGGCGCAAGCCTGAATCTAGCGTGCTACCACAGCCCTCTTTCAATCCCTATGTGCCACATCTGTTGTGGGAGCAC